CCCCAGCAGGGCCGCCTGTGCGAGGCCAGGCCGGCAGTGCCATTGTAATAACTCATGTAAATACGAGGGCTTGGGAGACAAAGAGAGGTCAGGCCAGAGGCTCGGGGATTCCTGTCGACAAACAATATTAGATGTAAAATGCGTACCTTTGACAAAAGTATTAATAGAGTGCTTTTGATTTTTTTCCCCCTGATGAAAAGTGAAAAGTAGTAATTGTGGAGTGACAGAGGAAAATGAAGTTTTGAACTGAAAGGCAAAGTTCGCGGATGGAAAAGCCCAACCCAATTAGCTGCGAGGGAGGGATGGAAATGCCAGGCACTTGCTCTTCCAGCCCCTCCACGGCCTTTTGATTGACTCTGCTCAGCCCCGGACAGCGGAGCAGATGAATCGGCGCGCTGCGCGCACGCGAGGCTTAATCATTTGTAATCGTCGTATTTGCCCTGACACGTGATTTGCCATATCAGGCTATTTTTTTTTTTTTTCTTGCTCACTAGTATTTCGTGGCTTGGCCTTTGCTTTATAAAACATTTAATAGTTTGCTTTAAACACATCAGCATGCTGATCTACGGTCGCCCTTTGCGTGGCGCCTGGAGGCGCGGCCCGCCTCCCCACCGGCTGCACCCGGGTGGCTGGAGGTGGGCTGCGTGTCGGCTCGGCTGGCCGGGGCGCTGAGGTCTGCATTCTCTGTCTTGTGTGAGCAGCCACTCCGTGCATCAAGGCCATCAGTCCCAGTGAAGGCTGGACCACGGGGGGAGCCACCGTGATCATAATCGGAGACAACTTCTTTGACGGCCTACAAGTTGTGTTCGGGACTATGTTGGTGTGGAGCGAGGTAAGCCTGTGACTTCGGGCACTTCACTGGAGCTTTTCCACGGGTGGCTGGACGGCTGTCGCGAGGGCATTGGCACAAGGCGCCCTATCGCAAAACCCCCCTTTGACGTTCTCCGGTGGGTGGGTACAGAATGCCCCCGCCTGCCCCCTCTCCCCAACCCTGGGGTTTCAGACCTGCCGTAGGAGGTCCCTCCGTACCCTGGAACAATTAGCGCTTGCGTTACCAGAAGCAGGTTTAAGGGGACATATGGTGGCAATTTTCATATGAATGATGCCCTGTGGCCTTTCCTGCAAACTAAAACCCGGGATCATTTGCAGATATTTTTCTTAAAGAGCACTAGATCCTGCATCTCTGGGTGACAGCTAGGAGGGGGCGTTCCGAGACGCTGGTCCAATTTCACTCATTTTGGTAATTATGTCCAACTGGCGAGTGTCCGCCTCTCACGGGCAGCATCACTAAGAGGCTGCTCGCTGTGTGGTTTTCGTAGCTGATAACTCCCCACGCCATCCGAGTCCAGACCCCGCCGAGGCACATTCCTGGCGTCGTCGAGGTCACCCTGTCCTACAAGTCCAAGCAGTTCTGTAAAGGTGCTCCTGGGCGCTTCGTCTACACCGGTGAGTTCACGTTTTCAACTCTTACGGCAAAGTGGTAGATGTCCCCTTAGGACTGTGCAGGTGGGCTCTGCAGTGAGGCTGGGGAGGTCCTGGGCCCATGGGCTGATGTTGGTCAAGGGCACAATGTCTGTCCCCATCCGAGCTGGCGAGACGCCGTGGACAGATGCAGCCCCCACTGGCCGTGTGATCTTGGGCCCCTCCCGTCAGGCTCCGGCCTTCTCACCTGGAAAGCAAGGCAGTGGGGTTATCCGTAACAAGTCACCCCAGCTAGGACAGGGTGGCTGCCCAAGTGCCCGGCTTGTGCTGAGGGGCCCTCTGTGCCCATCTCGTCACTCCGTGTGGGCGGCTCTCCTGTGATGTCACTATTGCTCATTTGCATAAACTGAGACTCGGGTTAAGTCACGTGCCCAAGGTCACACACCCTGTAAAGAGGGGCCTCCCACTGAAGCCAGGTCGCTGCTCCAGGCCTGGGGTTTCACATCCCGCACCTTACTGCTGCTTCTGCGAGGGTTTGGGCCAACACCCCTCTCATCGGAAAGGGTTTCCTCTGAAGTTACACGTTTGTTACCTGAAAGTTGCCTTCCACAAGCGTGCTTAGTTCACGGGACTCCTTCCAGCTCGCTACTGAGAAACGCCATAAGTAAATGTAAGGCGTGTTAGGACTTTGATTTGTGCCCTAGCCAAGTGCAGAAACTGTAATGTTTGAGACGCGTGTTTAACGACGGACAGCACCTGCCAAAACCCCGTGAGGGTGAAATGGACAGGGGCCTGTCCCTGAAGAGTTGTGGCCTTGACGTGTGTGAGGGTGGCTGGGACGTCCTTGGCAGGAGCCTGGGCTTGGGGCTTGGACAGTTCTCTGTCACCAGCTGCAGGACACCCCCTCTGCCCTCTGTGCTGTAGGCAGGAGACGAGGGCCCGAGGGCCCTTCCAATGTGGGGTATGAAGAGAGCGTGGAGGTTCCTCACCAAGCCTGGTTTTAGGAAGGACTGAATGAGTGTGAAATGAAGACGGTGAATTCCTCCAGCGCCCACTTTCCAGTAGACCAGGGTGGCCCCGCGGGCGGGCCTGGGTGGCCAGCAACACCTGGGGCCCTTGATGGGGGAGGCCACCTTCTCACTCAGCGCCTCGGCACCTCCATGTGGTCAAGGTGTAGGGGTAACTGCTCCACACCTGGGCCGCTTCCTCCCAGGGGACCAGCACCCCCCCCAGGAGGCCAGAACTACTGAAGCAGCCAGGGCGCGAGCACTGGTAAAAAGCTATGGGTGCGTGTGCCGGCCCACCCCTGGGGTCCAGGCGCTCTTGGCCTCCTGGTAGGACCCAGAGACTGGAAGAGGGTAGCCTGTGCAGTCTGTGAGGCTATCAGGTTATGAAAATATACAGACGCGCACAGGGGTTATAGACCTGGGCACCGTGGAGAGCACGTATCTACACTTCAGCAGGGGACTGCCGCTGTGGGCGCAGTCCCAGGGGACAGATGGCAGGCTGCCCCTCTAGGCGGTGGGCTTCTCTCAGCTCCTCTGCTCCGGACCCATGTCCTGTGCGCTGCACCTGCACCCGCTTACCATTTCTTTGCGCTGACCGTTGGCCACCGGGCCTCGCGTCTCTGGGTTTCCGGCCCCGGACCTTCGGGTTGCGGAGGCAGGGTGTGTCCCGCTCTGCTCTGCTTGGTGCTGGCCGTGGGACCTGGTGCCCATGCTCTGAGTGCCACTTCTGCTTGGTCCCACCAGTGGGTTTGTGGGGGTCAGGGAGCACTTAGGGGCCGTGTCTGGCCCACGGTAGAGTGGTACCAGCGAGTGGTACCTCCGGAAGGCAGTTTCCAAGGTACAGCTTCTGTCGGGGTCCCGAGTCCCTCAAAGGAAGGGACATTTATTATCCACTCAGGAGCCATGTCACGCGTCTGCCACATGACACATGGGTGCTGGGTCGCTTCAGGGCACCTAAGGGAAGGTGTGTCTGTGTGGCAAGACCCACATGCTCTGTGCAGACGTGGATGGCAAGACTGTTTATTCCCATTAGACTGCTGGGCCCTCAAGGGTTGAGGTCCCACCAGAGGCCTCAGTGGGTCCTTTCAGATCTCTGCACGTGCTGGCTTTTCAGCGGGAGACAGCGGCTGTGGGCAGTGGCAACTCTTTTCTGAGGAGACGTGATGGCAGGAAGGTGCGGCCTTCCTCCCTTCCCCTGCCTGTTGACCGCTGAGGACTCTGGCCCCAGTGGGGAGAGCAGGGCCCGGGGGTCAGCATGGTAAACAAAGGTGCCTTTGGAAAATGAGCCGGGCGGGGGCAGGGAGCAGCGGTGTCACGCGGTGAGGGCCTGCTGCGGGGCCAGTGTGAGGGGTGGGTGAGTGTTGGGCAGTGCTCTCTGCTGCCCTTTGTGCCCTCCAGCTGGCCAGGATGCCTGCCTTGGCCAGTGGTCTCCTCCTGGGGTGTCTGGGGTGTTCTGCCCCCTCCCCCTAAGGGAAGGGGTTTAACCTTGAGTCAGTTCCAGCAGCCACCCTCTGTCCAGAGGCCATCTTCCATTTCCACAGTGGACGTGGTGTCCACTCCACACGGACTGGGCTTGTCTGGCCAGACGTCCAGGGGCCCGGCTGCCCAAGGCTTTGGGATTTTCTCCGTCGAGAGTTCTCCCACGAACGCCCAGGCCTTCAATGAAGCCATTCAGTGAGCTGGGCCTTTGCTAGCAGGAGGCTAATTTATTGCCTCCCCCCACCCCAATCATTAACGGGAATATACATTTCAAACGCCGTGTAAGGGATACGGGGCCCTACACTCTCAGGGAGCAGAGGAAAGGTGGGGTCATAACCTGTCTGACCTGGAAGCTTCTGTCTGATTTGCATTGCCCTGAAATTGATGGGGACAATGAAGTAATCACTGGGAATTGCACTCCCCCCTGAAAACTGAGCCAGCCCTTCTGCACGCGGGGCTTAGGCGCACAGCCCCTGCAGGGAGGGCACTGTCCCCTGGGCATCTGGCTCCCATCAGTGTCCCCCCGCCCGGGGGGCTGCCGGGACACCCTCACATTGAACCTTCCCGCCAGCAGCCGGCCTCGGATAATGAACCTGTGCTCAGAGGAGGCCCCCCCCCCCCCC